TGCTGTCAGCTGTGTGAATCACTCGCGAATTTGATTCTTTTCTAGTACTAAAGAAAACGAAAATTTAAGAAATATTGTAACTAACGTGCAACTGAAAGTGATACTTCCATGAAAATAATATACTTTCTGTCTAAAATAAGATAACGATAATCCTTTTTGTTATATTGTTTTAGGTCAACAAAGTAAATTATTTTTCTAGAGCGGACGTAATACTATTTTACTTTAATAAAATGAAGTAACGAGGAGTAACAATAATTGACAAATGTGTGCAACAAAAAGTAGCTTCATTTCTAAAGCTGATGGTTTTAATTCCTTTGTTTTTTAAATCTGTTGGTTTCATTTTAAGTCGTTCATAGAGCTACCTTGGAGGATACGATAGAGTGTACGTAGAGACTGACTGGAAGAATAAACTAAAAGAAAAAAAAAATCACGAAATTGGTCAACATGATTTGATGAACGAAACTAGTACGTACAGCATCGATAACCTATAATAATTGATGTGATGAATATCAAAACCACAAGTATTGAATCCGGATCATTTATGACAATGGCTTTATACCCAAACGACCAAGTATATAAATCGATAAGCAAGGCATCCATAAGTGAGTAGAATATTAATACGAGTACTAAACAGTTTGGGAATACGCTAGTCGAAAGCATAAAATATAGTGACCAAATGAGGCTCAGTTTGAACAACATTGTCGCACTAATGGAGCGACATTCAGTTACCATTTCCATCTGGACTGATTCTACGCTTGTTCTTCATATGGTTAAGTCCAGCTGAAACAGATTCCACAATCTTTTCTCCCATCATTTTGGATACATGCTGCCTCTCTTTCGGAATCACGCTTCCACCCTTCTTGCTCCTCGTCGTTGTCCATGTCCGGTCACCGTCGCTAAAGTCTCCGATTTGCTTCACATTCTCTTTGGTGTCCGCCATTTGAGTGTGTGTCTGTGTGTGGGATTTTGTGAAAGGGAAGAAGTGTATAATTTGGTCTCAAAAGAAAGATGGAAGTCTGTTATGCGTATTTATAGTGGTTGATCTCATCATTTTAAGTGATTATTTAACTACCAATGGTTCATTATTTATTTATTTATTTATTTTTTTAATGATAAGCAAGTTAGCGGCAATAGATGTGTGTCTTTTTTTTTTTCTTTTGTAACTGCTTAAAAATTCAGAATCTTATGTTGGGAGGGAGATGTTCTTTTTTTTTTTTTTAATTTCTCTTTGTTTCACAAAAATGGTCGTGTATACATATTATTGTGATTGCTAATCTATAGAGATAATAATCATTTCTAAACTCTTTGAAATTAGTAGGAGTATGAAACAGAAACACTATATATCTGGCTTCTTTCGTTCTCTTTTAAGTGTATTTTCTGTTTCAATACGATATGAAAAAAAATCAAAATTGCTGACTTGCTGTAAACTTTTGATTGCTGATATTGTTTCGGGGACGGGGGGATTATTTGTTGTCTGCATTGATAGTGTAACGATGCAGCACTAAAACTACCTCCGGAAATTCCTTACAGGATAGCCGACCAAAAGTATAATTCTACAAAATTAATGAAACAAACAAAATTTGGAATGAAAAATTCAAGTAATTTTGTTTAACAATTGCTACTCATAATTCAAATTTTTTTTTTTTTTTTTGCCTTTTTTTTCTTCTTAAGTTTCTGCTCGTTAATTGCTTTAAGGTAAAAAAAAATAAAAAAATAAACTAAAAGGGGCATTGCTTATCGAAGCAGTGACGTTGCGGATTCCGCGTTTGAGATTTTTCTATTGCTTCTCATTTGTTGGGTTCTGTCGTCGAAAGTGGGGTACTTGGGATCTTAAATTAAATCTAGGTTAATAATGATTCAAAATATTACTCCACGTTCCAGAAAAATAATTCATATTGAGTTTTAAATTTGTACTAAAACTTGTGCAAATCTCAAAACTCAATGTGAATTTTTTTTTTTTTTGGACGGAGGTAGTACTTTTTAGAGCTATAGAAGTAACCCAAATTATTTAAGGACAAAAGAGAATATATACCCATATTAGTTTAGCCAGATGCATGTAAGCACTCTGAAGTTTTAATTAACAAAAGATGGTTATAATTTGAATATCTTTTTTGTTGCGAACAAATATATTCTTTGGTGAAGAAAGATTATTGTCATTGTATGGAGGAATCAATTTAAAATTATAACAAGTTACAGATTAAAAATATACAATTTGAAATTGGAGAAGTGGCAATAGTATCACGAACTCATGATGCATGGAACATAATTTTGATTTAGAATGAGAGTGAAAATTGTATTCAAAAGGCTGGACAACGTCTAACAGTAATTAAGTAGTAATAAAATTAGACAGACCGGAATAATTGGTCTCTTCCTCCGTCATATACTTTTCAAAATACGCTAAGTAATATTTTTTCCGTCCCGAAATCATTATCTAATTTAAATTTTTATTTTCAGTTCAAATTATACTAATTGTAAAAATTTAAGTAAAAAATATTTTTAAGACAGAAAAAGTACAATTACTAAATTATCATGATTTATTATAGTATACGTAGCTAGAAATCATTTTCGACATACATTCGTGTCTGCCGGAATCTAGTTCGAGTGGAAAGTTCTTTTTCTTAAACTAAGATTCATATAACCGCGTACGAACAAATCTAAAAAACAAGAAGAAAAAAACCTAAAAGCAGTCCATACGTTTTCTCGAGAAGTCCATTTTTCAGTTGTTCAGAGGACTTTAATTTGATAACCATGGTAAAACTACCTACATTCCCATGTTAGTCATGTGAGTTTGCGTCAAATAATATTCTCCTTCAAAGACACAGTTACTTTTAATTATTTTATTGGTTGTGAGATGCAAATGGATCTTCTGCGTGATTTTCTTATTATAAGACATTTTGATTTCGTCTTAAGTTTCACCTGAGATGTCTTTTAAATTGAAATAAAAATTTTAAAAATATTTCATAATAATTAGGAGAACACAAAGAAGATAAAAATATATTTTTAAAATTTTTTTTAATTAAAAAAACATTCTAAATTAAATCTAAGACGAAATCAAAATGTCTTATAATAAGGACCGGAGGAAGTATTAACTTATGTAGTTGGATTAGGTGTATAATTAAACTTATTGTATGCATTTTTTAATTTAGAGGAGGATATATCTAGAGATTATTCTTTCTGTCCAAGATAATTATCCACGTTAGAATTTTTTTTATAGTATAAACTGTACTAAACATATGAGTCAAAACTTGATAATTATTTATAATATATAAGCTAATATAAAAACCGCTTGAAATTTCCTTCCTAGTGTAATTACGATGGATGCAAGTTGTTAATAATAACTTTCTTTTGATCGTGAGTGCATACCACTTTTGTCCTTCTTATTCTTCGGTTTTAATCTGCACAAAAAGTGCTCTTCTTTTAAGCCAGAACTTGTAAGAAAATTATGCCTTACCATTTCATTTAAAATGAGAAAAAGAAAAACGATCACAAACTGCTTTCAAGAGAGAAAAACAAAATTATAACCATCCAAAACAAAAAAGCAATTATAAACACAAATTTTTTTTTTTCTATTCAAATATCTTTAATGTTCAACCGTCTTGCCGTTTTGTGAGAATATCCAACATCTTGAAATATTTTTAATGTTCAAGTGTTGTTATATTTCAGAAATATCAAACGTCTTGGGAAATTCATTGTGCAAGGGGTTGCTTGCCAAGATTGGCATATTTTATCTATGTTGATAATCGATCCTATTAATGATAGTTACCATCAAGAAGTTGTATCCTAAAATTTTAGCTAGAATATTATTTCAATTCGGTTTCCTTGTGAATTCTCTAGCAATCATTACGATTGAAGAGTTTTTACAATATTTTCACACTTGAACTAAAAATTTTACTCGTGTATTTGCTACAAATTATCAGTTATTATTTTATTTCATGCATGGCTATGGATACAGGTTAATCTCAATAAAACAAAGGAAACTGAAAATACTTTTTGGAGGTAAATACTCGTGTAAAATTGTAGGCGTAACTCGTGCGGTTGAAAGGAATTGATCGAAAAGCAAGATTTCAAGTGAGTATCAAACAAAATGCATCACTCGTCGTTCATCGCAACTTTGAAATTTTCATGCTATGTTTCAGTGATTTTGGTGGGCCTTCAATTTTGGTGATAACACTCTGATGATTGGATGATATTTGGTAGTTTATTTTCTCGAAATTTCATAATAATCATTTGTTTTCTTAAAAAAAAAAACTGTTAAGCTTTCCAACACATTGGCCAATTCCTGTCTATAACATATTTTGATAGATTAAATGGGCAACTTGTGCAAGTTCGTAAAGGTTTAGTATTGTAGTTTTTAATAAGACCAATAAAAACTTCTTGCCATTACAAATCTGCCCTTAATTTGTTGCACGTTATTGTTGGGGAAGCAACTGTACAAAGGTAGGTGTTATGCTACTGTCAAGTTTCTTCCTGACGAAAACCCTTCTATTTAGCAACTATTAATGACAAAGGTTTGCATGATTACTTCTTAAAAAGTTGTCATGATGTGAGACTTTAAAAATGTCAGAAATATAACCATTGATGGGATTCCCGCGATTGCTTTTTCTTCATAGCCTTTTAAAATTGATTTGCATCATTATGATGAAGGATTATATGTAGGTCATTATGTAAAAGAATGTGTGTATTTCATATTCAATCTGCTTGCCAAAGTTGATTATTATAAGGTTACCACCTTCAATATTCCCCTTGTTTTCCTGTTCTCACTCTAAAAACAGTTAACAATACAAACACTAAACAGTTGTCTTATATGGAAGTATATTCTCAAAACAACACTCTATGCGGCATTTTCTTTTACTCTAATATACAACACAATGGAAATTGAATTGAGCACTTAGTTTACGTGTATAATTATATAATTGTTATCATGTACATATAAAATATATACGACTATAAATATAATTATTCGATTCCAAATCATTTTTTATTTACAACGAAATCGACTACCCTCTATTACCAAACCATAAAATAATACACTTTGTTCAATACTGCTGCTTTCATGGATTAAAGATTTTCTATTTACTAATCTCTCAAAACATAACTAAAAAATTCCTAAATTACCGGGCTACTACTCCCCTTAAGCTGCACAGCGTGCAGCACCAACGCCTTGTTAGATATGAAAGCGTTAGAGAAATTCTTTATTTCTCTTGCAGCTAGAGCTAGTAACAGATTCAACAGCTTTGAGGTGTGCAAGGCTTGAGTGTAAATCTCACAAGCCTGAGCATGATCATTAGGCTTCACTCTTCGAACCAATGATGAAATCTCAAGCTTGATTTCTTTCATCATTTCTGTATCAACTTCATCAAACCTGAGAAGCATATGTGCTGCATTGATAGCAACAGTTTCTGCATGAGCCGACAAGCATTGTGTGGGTTCAACAAAGCAGATGAAACTTTTCAAGAATGTCATCTGCTCTCCCAAGGCTTTTGTTGCCTCTTGTAAGATTGTACCTTGAAATTCACCAACTAGGTTCTCCAAAATTGAGGTGATGATTTCAGACATGTAACCAGCTGTGCTAATAACAGAACTTGATGATCTCCAGGTTGAATCCAACATCCTGACATACCATTCTCCTATTTCTTCCTCCAAGGATTGAGTTTCTTTCTGGAACCCTGAAACAATGGAAATATGCACATAACTCATCAACACAAAGAGGATGAGTTGTATGTGCATTTGTGCTAACAATGTGTCCAATCCTCAGCAATAACGATGCCAAACTTGCTTCCAAGCCCAGTTGATCAGCTGTAAGAACAAATGTTTTGAGCTTCCTTAAGCTATATATCATCTGCTTAAACACTTTCTAATTCAAAACATAAGCATGTTCCATCATCAACTCAACATCGTCTAAGGCTGAATCAACAGAAGTGATAAGAGTGGATGCCATTTTCGCTGTGTTTGTTTAGGGGGAGAAAAAATGAATCTTTCTGAAAGGCGAATTCAGGGAATCTCAGAAAACAAGAAGAAGGATATATGGTGAAATTAATTAACAAAGGAAGAAGAGGCTAAGTGAGTGAGCAAACTAATTGATGTTATATGGTTTATATAGGGATCACGCAGATAACAGAATACGTGTGCATGCATGCATGATTTCATTAGCAAATGAGGTTTGTGGAGTTCAAAATGTAAACATGGTCTTCTGAGTCGTTTCTTCAGTCAACATATAAAAGCAGATATTTTCTTTGATTAGTCTTAATGGAGGACAAATTATAATGGTGAGGGGACACCAAGTTATCATCAGCATCTTCAATCTTTCTTCACCATTATTGAGCTGTGATCAGCGTATCTCTCTCTCAGCTCCAAAGCAGAACTAATCATTCACACGATGAATCCTTTGGAGATTTGGTTCCCTTGATTTCCTTCTATGTTCCAAGTTCATGAAATGCAGAATATGCCATTACATCATTTTGAACTCTACGCGAATATACTTATGATTTAGCCTAATTGTCATCTTCGTTCATAAATTTTAGTTCATGTACAGTACCAGTAACATGTAGCAATTCATCTAATGGCATTTATCGGCTATAATCCGCTAGAACTGATTGGAGTTTTGGCCCTGTAAATTATATTTCTGAAGTTCCTTTTTTTTTTTTTTTTTGGTACAATAAGAGGAGGCATATTGCCTAATAGACTAGATTATGACAGATCGTCGGTAGGAAGTACCAACTATGTTATGATGAAGCCATGCTTTTAGCTCGTCTGGAGGGACATCCAAACTCGTTATTCCTCCAGGACTGGTCGCCGCTTGTGAGGCTAGTGAATTTGCTGCAAAATTACGCTCCCGATGGATGTGCTTCAACTCAACCGACCATGCTCGGTGCATCAATTCCCGAATTGCCATAACTAGACTCCGATGCAAGCCAGCAATCTGAAGTTCTGAACAAGTACAAAGTCTTAGAAGGGAGGGTTGGGCGGAAAGTTTAGGGGCTAGGTACAACGAGGATGAGGATTCAATTCTCGCCCGGACAATCAAATATTTCTTTGAAGAAGTTTAAAGTCTTGTAAAACAGTTCTACATATCAGATTGCTGGCCTATTTGGACTAGACCCACAAGCAAGGGAAAATGCAAATTCCATGCACACCAGACACTATTTTTTTTACATATTGTAAGTTTCACTGAGATTTGCAGATCTCCTGCTGTGTGTGAGTAAAGATTCTTTGTAGAGTTTCACGAGTTTAAAGCACTTAAAGTCTTAAACAATGTCTGTCCCTTTTTTTTTTTTCATATATGCTTTTCATTTTTTAATAACCCTTGATTAATTGATGGACAATAACCTTCCAAATCATCATCTCTGTAAAAAAATAAAAAAATATTGCTTGTCTGGTGTTCTTTCAATTCTATCCACTTCATGTGAGGCTTTTGCAATTTGCATTAAAATTCGTCCCACTTGTATGACTCTCAAAGCTTCACTTTTTGGGTAAATATTGGTTGCAAGCCCATCATCTTATTATCTTTTCAGGAAGAAGATTCATACTGAAGCTTTCTTCATCTTTGTGGCAGTAACCAGTCTGATTACAGTCATATTATTTTACAATTATATCAAATCTATAAAACGTATCCATATCTAGTGATAATGTATTATGGTGTCATGAATTTCTCTACAACCAAAAACAAAAACAAAAACAAAAGAAAGATTGTGACGTACATTTCTAAAATTGTATGTAATTTCCCTTGAAAGAACATATGTTTAGTGCAAAAGGAAACTAGTCAGTCTTGCTAATTCAACCGTAGTTAGTAATTAACAATGGACATGTAACCAGCTGCAATTACCAACCTCTAACTAATAAAGTTGGGTTAAACAGTCCAACAAAAAGTGAACTGTTTTGCTTTGGTCTGGTCTTAGATGAATCAGGTGTTGCTTTGCTGAAGCAGCAACTTCTCAATGTAAAATCCCAAACATACCTCTGTTCTTTATGTGGCACTACTAAGCAAAAGGACATTTCAAGCGCTCTGCAGCATCACTTCTCTCATCCTTTCTAAACATATATGCAGACCGAGGTGATCACGGAAGTACAGGAAACTCCACTCTATCAATCGAAAAGAAACTTGTACGTCCAACATCAACTTTACAGAACTTTAAAGGGCAGCCACCACAACGTTTCTCGAGGTCCTCAACCTCTTGTTTTGAAGGTGGTTGGCCTCTGTCATAGAAAGGACACTGTTATCCTCTTCCAGAACATCAACTTTTAAAATTTCTGTGCAACTGAATTTAATTGAAATTTTCTATCGTTTCCAATCGGGAACCTTGCGAGCAAGTGATAGATAAAACAGCTACAATTGCAAGGAAAAAAAAGAGAGATGGGTTTGTAGACAAAAAGAAAGGAAGAAGAAGAGTGGAAAGAGAACAGATGTGATCATAGTCTTGCCATGAAGTCAAATAACACAAATAATTGAGAGATTTTGATATAGAATTCACCATATTTTCCTAGCGTTAGGACTTAGGACAACATCACGTAAAGAGCAATTCTATAAAAAAGAAAAAATAGGACCAAGTCCATGTTATAAACATGATAAATAGCAAGTTATTAAAGAAAATTTATTTATGAATGGCCTTAGTTGATGCCAAAAGATACCCGGTCTTGTTCACGACCTAAATGCATTAGGCCCTTGATTGATACTTATACAAATCCATGCTTTTCTCTTTGTCTCGACTGAGAATTTAGCTACTACACTGCATCCTGGAGTGCTTTCATATTACTACATGTTCAAAATTCTTTGTTTCCTACTTCTCCCATATGCAATCCTTTACCTTTTAGTCCACAGTTTTCTTACAAGATACAGATAACAGAAGCATCTCCTAGAGTAACTTCATCGTATGCATTCCTGAAAGAAGCTCATTACCTATCCACTCTCTAAAGCATATAAAGAATACAGCCATACCAGTACCATAATGATAGCATAAGTATTGGAGAGAGTACACAAGATAAAATACTGGAAAATGTAAAACTCATTGACAGAAATTACCTAGCAAGACAGAGCACAAAAGATGGATGGCCAGGGGAAGACTTCTTAAACTTGCTACTAGGATTGTAAACATCAAAAATTGGCTGCACTTCCTTCCTTTGCTTCCCAGTGAACATCTTGTTTATATGAGTACTTTCTATTGATTCAAAATCTTTCTTATCGATATCAGATAAACCCTCAGGAGGCAAAATGGTTCTGACACTCTTCACGCTCCAACTTATTCCATGGCGACCGATGATATAACCAAGACTCTTTAAGCGCTTTTACACTTCAAAAGACTCCCATAAACATCCATTTTTTGCTTCTAGAGCTTTACCGTAAATCTCTCTCATGGAAAGGAGTGTATTATCATCATTTAAAATCTCAAAAGCTCCAATTTCAGCCAAAAACCTGTAGAAAAATAATATATTCTTCGATCAAACTATGAGTATGACAGCAGACAGTGAAAGCTCACTCTGACATAGAATGAAACTGGGGATAGAAAAACACTATCTCAGAAAACTAAAGAAACATTCAATGAGGCTTGGGAAGGAGACACTAAACAAAACAGAAAAACCAATAGTAAAATCACCCACAGAATTTCTTCAATAAAGCACATGACTTTGCCATTATGAATGATTCCAGTTGAATTCCATGTATTACCCTTCCTTACCACTAGCTCAGCCATTCCCAAATCATCTATCCACCTCCCCGTTGATGCAACTTTCCTAAAAGTCCACAGACAAACAACTACTGCATTAACAATAGTATATGAACTTAACGGGCAAACCTGCCAATTTCAAACAAAGATATAAATTCACAAATATTGCAGAAACCTGCATTGCAAGTTCGATCGGCAACCAAATGCATAAGAATTTTCATCGTTATTTAAGTCCTCAAGGCAACCCTCAGCATCACTTGATTCTGATGGGATTGCTAGAGCTTTCGCTTCCATGGCTCCAACTGCAAAAGCAATTCAAAAGTAACCATTTATTCATGAGGCATAGTCGTTTCAGAGATATTTTATAAAAAAAATTTTAAAAAAAAATGTTTAGTTCCAAATTGTTAAGATTTTCACCAACCTTACCACTTATTGTTATTAACATCTCCTCTTGGTACCTTTTGGCAAACAAAAAATTGTATTCACATCCTAACTTAATGCTACACAGGAAAAATTACAGTTTCTTACTATACCATTTTGCTTCCATGGTTCACATCCTAACTTAATGTTTCTTACTATACAGTTATAAACATGAAGGTAAGAATGAAAATGAAGCAAACTTCAAACTTTTGTTACATATAATCTAGGCGAAAAAATTTGTGTTAAAATATTACAAAACACAACAATACGAACTTGGAAAACTGAATCAAAATCCAACCAAAGAATCCCTTTTATTCCAGTCAAACTCAGCATTCTTCTAGGTGGTCAAACCTTGTGGGGGGTAGCTCTATGAAAATTGCCAAGCCTAAAAATCGTTCCATTGACACTTTGTAGGATGATGATGAAATCGCAGTAAACGTATTATCCATCCAATCCATTGATGGAGTTGATCCAGGACCAGCTGTGAAGGTGCCAAACTCCTTCACATCTGTTTTAACTATTCTAGGCTTGCTAGTGGTGTTAAAAGACACTGCTAGTTTGTGTGTTACGGACAACAAGCTTAAGGAAATCTCAGAGATTGCGACAAGCTGTATCAAACTATCAATGTAACTGCCTCATTGTTGACGGATGGACTTTTAAATATTGCAATGTTGAGCATCACGAGCGATCATACCTGTTTGACTCTTGTGGGACAAATAATGATTTCCATCTTTTCGAAGCTCCAAATATCAATTCTATAATGCAGCTCCAAGATCACAAAATGCTGGATGCCTAATGGTGTTACACTTAATTCACAGTAAATGGAGGTTTAAGCAGCCAGCTATAGCTTTTCTATTCCTGTGTTATTAAGTAACACTTGCTATTCAAAGAGTAAATACTCCTAATTTGGAACAGATTCATAACAATCATAAACCATCATTTTTCTGTTTTATGCAAAGCAATAAATACCAAGGGAGAAAAATCCTCAAAAACTCAGTACAGACTAACTTTGTTCTCAAGATTACTATGCTCAGGCTATAGCCACTGCTATAAAACATTTGAAGTAAGCATAATGATGCAACTTGAACCATTTATGTAAAACTTAAAGTGTGCTAAGGCTTCAAAAGCTTATAGCCAACTTAAGTATATAAGCAAGAACAATGGATGAAAAGTTCCATAGTTTAGTGCATTAGAAACAGTTTTATAAAAGTACTTTCCAGACCTGCAACATGCAAGCCTTCTTTCAGGCGTTTCCAAATTGATAAAGTAGCTCAATGAACTGATTAAACTAAATTTGGAACTGAAGATACAATCTACAAAGCACCAAATGCAGCAAACAAACATGAGATACTACTCATGTAGAAATGAGTTTGCTAGTGTAAAATTTCACATGATCATTCCGAATTCTTCATTAGCGGAACTTATACGACCATGCCATCTAAAATTTCAAAGTTAAATCCTTTTCCAAATATTGTAAGAGTCCAATCCAATTGATATCCGGAAGTTCAGCAATCATACACAATTAATGCCCACACAATTCAAACCAGCATACTTAGTTATGTACTTCAGTTTCAAAATGAAATACTCCATTCAATACAAAGATGAAACTTCAGCCAAATACTATGAAAAGCCTCTAGTCCCAAATTCCAATTTTGCATATTTTAAGACTTTTGCATTCAAGATCAGAGACATAAAGAGTGAATGGAGAAAGGGACGAAAGCACTCCTATGATCTGAACAATGCATATTGAAGAAGCAACCACTTTCGAGCTGAATAAGAACGCAATGAAAGCTCTGAACAACAAATTTTCCAGCCTCAAAAGGCCTCACAAGTTACAACAATGGTAATTCGCTATCACACAAATATCTAAACTTCAGAAACAAACATTATTCATACAAATATAAGAACCAAAGGTCTTGAGCTCCTTAAAATCGCCAAGAATTAAAAGTTCATCCAAAACTATTTTAACAAGGATGCAGCTAATTATTTTTCTTATTTAATCCAGCTACCGAATCAGACAAAGAAGCAATGACTTTCATATAAAATCTCAAAATCTCAAAAGCTAAACAAAGCAATGGTCGTAGTACCAAGACATGTATGCACTTAATAAAGAGAAGTCAATGAACAACACATTCTTTTATGTCCTCGTCAGCGCAAGAAAGCTATTTTCCCCTAAATCAGCAAAGATTATGGTAACTTAAATTGTTTTGCAGGCAACACGAGTGACATGACATGCAACTTCACAATCTTTCAGATCAAGAATCAAACATTGCCGTATTACTCCCATTCCTAGTTCAGACATTTTATCAAACAGGTGTTGCACAAACCGATTGCACATGCAAGACGGAAGAAGTTTCAATAAGTCACAGAGCTTATGGAAACCTATAAACAAACATACCATGATGCAAGAGTAGAAATCAAGTTCCTGCGAACAAGAATATTACAAAATTATTCATCAACAGTTGAAGTCTGGTACTAAAATTTGTTGCTTACAAGAAAATCTACAAAGATTTCAAAGGCCTTTCTCGGTAATTGCAAAAAATTTGCAAAACTGAAACAATCAAAGACCGAAACCCACGATTCAAAGGCAAAGAACACTGGAAGCCTTACTTGTTATGTCTTCGATTGAAAGCGCGAAGCATCAATTTCCTCTCCCTCACTGGCGCACAGACCGTAATAGTAAGTACGTAGACATGCAATCATTATAATCACTTCATTACCGAGTATCATGAAATCACAATTTCGATGTTGGAGACATCTGCCGCTATGATTTTGAGAGTAAGTACAAAATCAGTGTATCACAACTTCTGGTACCCATGTCCTAAAAATATACTTTTATTATAAGGCACAAATTAACTCTAACTGTGGTCCGATTGTAACTTATACTTAGCACCAAAGAGTTCACATTAAAATTCAAACTTTATATTAATTTAATATAAATGTCAAAACTCAATATTGACTACTGCCTCCGTCCCACAATTATTGTCCACTTTGTCAAAAAGCTTTTGTCCCAAAATTATTGTCCGATTTGACTTTTTATGGATTATATTACACATTTGTCATTTAGACCAAAAAATCATTTCACTAAAACTATTTAATCCGGTCACAAAATAGCAACTGGATCTCCAAATACTTTATTACAAAAAATAGCAACGAAACAAGCCCGTACTCCAACAGCTCAAAGTGATAGTGAGGATGAGGTGTCCTGTGATTGTCACAAAGGAATATGCAAAGAAATCGTTCTTACCGCTTGAAAATTACAATATTTAAGTACTCCGAATTTGGTTGGGTAAGCCTTTCCAACAGCGACTTCATTGAAAGCACCCGAAACTCTCTTTCAAAGAGCTACCCGGAGCTTCGAACCGGGCATCGGAGCCGGCGAGAGATCAGCAATTGCCAGTGCCTTGGAAAGAGAATCAATAGGGACAAGATTCGGAGATGCCGCCTTATGGATCTGAGATTGAAGTTTCCTTATCAATTTGATCTGTATATGATGCACCGAAACTTTAAAAGGCAAGTTGTTGGCGTCCTTGTGAGGACTTTCTTCTTTTCGTCTTTGTGAATTGTCGGCAATGAAATATACAAAAACAGAACACGATTTCAAAAGAAGCTTCTTTTCCTTTTTGGTTCTAGCTCCAAAATCGACCTGAGTTGGAGCTGAGCCGGTGGTTGAAAGTTAGACTTAGCGGCTGAGTCGTGGTGGTTGGAGAAGTCCCGGCAATCATTGACTTTGATAGCATCGGAAATAATAAAATCTTGTCGGTTAATCAATTATTTATGGAGGGGTATTCGATTTTTTAAGCCAAAATATAATTAAATTTGATCAAAAATAAAATCTTCCATCATAATCAAATTAGACAATAATTATGGGATGGAGGGAGAATTATATATTATTCGCGCATAACTCACTGATTGAAAGAAACATATGACGATTTTCATTCTTGAGTCATGCATGAACCGTGTTAGGCTTGAGATTTTTTGTTTTTCTTGTTTTTTTTAGCCCAAGAAGGTACTTGGAGGATATAGCTCCCTTTTTATTAATTTTAAGAAAAATACATAAAAGAGGAGGGCGAAAACCTTGCCTCTGTTAAAGAAAATGAAATACTTCAAAGACTAAGTTCAGAAAAGTTCTTACATTCTTGGTTCCGAGATGCATGAACCCTGTTAGACTCGAGAATTTTAATTTTCGTTAATATACTTCTTCTCATTTCCCAACTTTATTTTGCTAAAATACTAAACACAACTCCATGCACTACCAAAAGCTGACATATAGGGGGAGTAAAACTAGTATTGATTAAAAAGATTTCTACCCAAGGAAATTGATATTTTCAGATTTGAATCAAAGATATAATAGGTTAGGTTTGAATCAAGTACTTTAACTCCATGCACTACCGAAAGTTGACTTATAGGGATGAGAAATGGGTAGAAATTAAAAAGATTTTGTCTCCCGTGCGAGTGGCACTTTCAGAAGAACTTCAGAAGCACTTGGATTTGCCTTCAAAGGCAAAAGGTTTGTGGGGTTCTTGACAAACTATCTTTCCCCTACATTAAATCCAAAAATCAACATTTTTATTTGGATTGATATTTAAACTTCAGCAAGCCAATCCTTTTTTTTTTTTGAATAAATTTAAGTGCTGCCCTTATATTTTCTCCAGTAATAACAGAGAAAATAACAGTAAAATGAGATAGTGATTCATGAATGGACTGAAGTATTTAAACATCAAACCACTCTCTCAATAACTACCAACTTAATAAGGGTTTTAAGTATTTATACACATGTCGCATCAATCAATATTTCATTTCAATATTATTTACTTTTACTATACATCATTTTCCCTTTTGTCTTCCTATGCAATTTAAAATGGGTTTCATCC